GGGGGGGGGGAGTGTTCGTCACCCATAGGTTGCCCAAGGCCGCTAACTCGTGCACGCACCATTGATGACGAAGGATGATCTTCCGTTTCGTCGAACTGAGCTCTGGTACCAGATGACGCCGAATTGAATCCAGGTGTACGGACAGAACGAAGAGAACAACGAATAAGAGGGAAAGAGAATAATAGCTAGGGGAAAACTCCACGCTAGGGTTATGATACAATATGAAAAGTAAAGTTTGAATGAAAGAACCCCGCAAGCCGGCCTAGGAATGAGAAATGAATGGGCTGAACAAAAAGCAGGCCATAGGCCCAGAAACAATAAAACTGCAAAATGGCGGCCTAAACGAGCGAATTTGAGGTCATAACTGAAGGCTGATGGGCTCCGCCCTATCGGCCCCCTGTGCGTCTCGTTGAGTCCTTTCCAGAAAGTGGTCGCACGCTGAAAACGGACACTCCTAGCAAAAGTTATGCCCAATAATTGGACACCCCAAGGGGCTACTTCCCCAAAAGTTTGCTAGTGTGTTTTGCATATTTGTATGATCCAAGAATGATGTTTCGCTCGGTGTGCCGATGTTAGGTGTGTCGGCCCTGCATTAGCTCCTTCCCTTCCAACGTTTGGTTCTTCCATTACACCCACCCAGGTGGAAGGACCAGGCGTCGGGGGCTAATGCAGTCCGTTTTATGGTGGCTCTAAGTAGGTGGGACGGTTGGCTACTGTTTTGTTGGCCTTTGAAGTGCCGGTTGTTGGGATGCCGGCATTTCGAACGAGGATGGTTGGATATTTCGTCATTGTTGAGCCGACTCTGGGATGGTTGCTCTTTCGGTTAGCCAAATTTCTTAAATTTGGCTCGGTCTGCCAATGTTAGGTGTGTCGGCCCTGCTTTAGCTCCTTCCCATCCGGCATTTGGTTCTTCCATTACACCCACCCAGGTGGAAGGACCAATCGCCGGGGGCTTATGCAGTCGGTTTTAGGTTGGCTCTAAGTGGGTGGGACGTTTGCTACGGTTTTGTTTGCTAACCTGCATGGCACTATTCGATGTGACTGTCATGGGCACCTTGCATTCGCTGGTGGGTTGACTGCCGAGTTAAAAACTTGGCCTTTGGTCTGTTGGTGGGTTGTGCGTTGTGTATGAAGTTTGCGATGCGTAATTGTGTGTGAGATGTATTTGGTTTTCATGGTTAGGTTTGATCCTTGTTGTATCAGAGAAAACTTGCCGTGTAAGCCTTTTCAATATGGTGGGCTACGCCTTTGTTTGCAATGGTTTCCTTTGTTTTGTACCCTCTTTGTGGCATCCTTACATTCCCGCTCTTTTCCGTTTGTTTTTCGTCTTTTTCAAAGCAAAATGCCATTAAACAAGTTCATATAGCTTTTGCATCCGGAAATCAAACTGTGGTGGCATGACTTTTGTTTTTTCACATGTGGTTTTTGAAGTGTTGGCTTTCTGAGAACCACTGCTTTTACCGTTTTGGCAATTGCTTTTTCGTCCCCCCAAATGTTTGTTAGTGTGTTTTGCATATCATTATGACCTAATAATGATGTTTGGTTACGGGTTGTGATGAGGAATTTGCTTTGTGTTTGAATTTGGGGCCTGTTTGGTGAGTGTGACTCTACAGCAAAATCGTATCTACTGCTGTAACTTGAGTTATGTTTTTTAAGCATATATAGAGGGGGGGTATGGTCCGTGAAGGTTTTTTCGGTTGGTTTTAAAAGGCTTGGTTTTTGCCCTTGCTAGGCCCTGCGTTAGCTCACTCTCTCCCTAGGCGCCTCGTTCGGCTAGTGTCCCACCCACTAGCATCAAGAATGGACGCCAGAGCTAACGCAGTTCGAATTGGCGGTGGGAATTGGTGTTGGGCATCGGTCTGTTGGCCCTTGAAATGCTGGTTGTTGGGATGTCGGCATTTCAAGCGAGGACGATTGGCATGTGTTGAGTCACAAAATATCATATTTTATTTCCTCATTTCTTAGTTTTTTTTAATACAATTCATGTGGATTTTATACCTAAATAATCATATTTTGTTCTATTTAGCAATTTAGGCTATTGTTTACATTTCAAACATAAAATGCATGATTTTTAGCATATTTATTCTACAAATAGTTTGGAGTATAATTTTTCTTGACAGAAATTTCTAGATATATTTCAGAATATAAATAGTTGAAAAAGATGTCAAAGTTGGGCTCTATATCCAAAGGATAAAGAAGTTGGGCCAAGCCCAAATTTGGACTTTACCCACAATTCATGTTATTAACCCCTCAGGCAGATGCGGAGTGAGGAGTAATGGAGAAGCGCAGGGAACGGAAATGTCCAGACGCAAGTACGGAAGAGTAGATTTCTTCTCCAAGTCCATCTCTAATTCCTCAACTGTCAACTCCTACTCCTAATTGAAGACTTGGAGACTTAAAATTGAGCAACTATAAAAGGAGACAAAAGCCACAAGAAAAATCATCTTTTGGAACTCGAAAATGTTGGGGAAGCACGGAACAAAGCACAACGGAAGCGTATAAAATCTTTTCCCCAAATTAATGAGATGAATAACAAGCACAATGAACTCTGAAAAAATCAGCAGCACACACACAAATAAATGGCAGCGATATTAAATTAGATGACACAGGATTTACGTGGAAACCCCAAATCGGGGAGAAAACCACGGCCGCTCAACAACGGCTCCCAAACTTCCACTAATCACCAAGAATCAAGTGGGTACAACAAGTTCTCCTCTCTAGTAAACACTAGAGGCATACACAATCATCAAGGAGCAACCTTGGAGCAACAACAATCAACAATTCACCAAAAATGGAGTAAAAACTCCAAAAACGCAGGTCTAAAAACGCAGCCTAAAAACAGCCTTCCGGGCATCAAAACGAGAAACTGACCGTTGGATATGAAGAGGAGTGTGTGAGGAACAACATACTAAAATTTGAGCACGATCGGACTTCGTTTGGCCTTCGATCCGGAGGTGAAAAGTGGCTGCTGCACTGTGTGGCGAGAAATCTGTTTTTCTCCCTCATTCCTGCGTAGCTACTGCCAGTACTCTCTCTACCTTTCTTTTTTTTTTTTTTGCTTTCTTGCTCTCTTATCCCTTTGTCCTTTTTTTTAGTTAGTAGCCACATAAAGGAGATAAATGGGCCACCAAAACAAATGGCTAAAGCTTTACACATAAAAGAAGCCCAAATACAAAAGATATATGTAAAGTATTGTCCAATTAAAATTGGACACTTCCTCCATGTAGGAGGGATATTTTCCAACAGAAAAAAAGATCGGAAACAGAGCAGGGAGCCGGCCTAGGGTTCCGACCCCTAGGCCCGGCAGTCCAGCGGCGCGATGGTGGCTTGAATTCCGGCAATGGTGATTCCGATGGCGGCTAGGTTCGGCGACGGCAATTACGCAGCGTCCGGCGGCGACGGTAGGACAGCGGCCATGTTTTGGAGCAGCAACTAGCTTGGCTCTGGTTCTGGGCTTTGGTGCACCGTGCGATGAAGACACTTCCAGGGAACATTACTTTTACTTTTCAATTTGAGTTTCTATGAATTAGGATCTTGAATTTGTTTAATTTCAAAATTGATGAATTTGATTTCCAATATTAAATATGTTATTTTCAAATCTTATTTTTGTGTTAATTGTTTAAGTTATAATATAAGTGATGAATTGTTTAAGTGTTGATGTTTAATTGTTCAAGTTATGATTTATTGATTGATTATTGTCTCTGGAATTATAAAACCTTCTTAGGCCAAATTATTTGACAAAAAAAGATTAAATCTTTGATTTAATTGTTCTTGTTAAATTAATTTGACTTTGAATAGATTTTAGCTCTATGCTACTGATAAATCTAAACTGAAAAAGGTGTTCTGAGAACTATTATTCACCAGATTTTACTTAAATTGGACCAAATTAGGACTGCAGCCTGATCCAATTTAAATTGATATTCTTTTAAAGTCCAAAGTGCTTTAAATAGCCGAACTTTTCTAGAAACCAAGTGTCACTTGATTAGTGCTTGCTGCCTCGTTAAGTGGTTTTTGCTAATCAAGGTTCTCGAACTGATTTTGTTAAATAACCGTAGTGTTACTGCAAGATTGTTATGGTGATGTTTTCCAAAGATTTTATTGCGCTATTCTTAGTAGTAACTTAAGGGTTGGTCTTTGGGTTGCTAAGGATAGTAGGGTTTAGAGTTAGGGTTGGTCTTAACATGAGCTAATATGAATGGGAAAATAGGGAAGAACCGTTGGTGGACCTCTTCTTCAGCCTAACCCTGAGTTTAATTAGCAGTTTAATTTCAGAATCAAGACATGATAAATTAGTGAATCAGATTTGTTCAGTTTATTTTTTTATTAAAAAACTATAAGTATTTTCAAAATGGTTTAAGTTAATTATTACTGTCTACGTTTTTATAAAGTTTATTGTGTGATTGTTTTTATGTGTTTGTTTTCTCCTGGAGTGTTCTTCTGAGTTCGAGTTGCTGCTGTGGTTCCATCCCTAGACTGTTATCCTTATTTTTATTTTATTTGCATTTTTATCTTCTTTTTAGAATTATCAGTCAAACCCCCCATATCTGTTAGATTTAGTTATTTAGTTTTAGTTAGTTTTTAGTCAATAAAAGTGACAAAGTAAATTGATTTTCATAGCTTAAAAAGTATCTTTTCTCGTGGGATCGACCCTTACTTGCCCTATCTATATGTTTTGATCAATATTAATGCATAAAGGGGGTTAAGAGTTAAGGAAAATAATTAATTAATTTGTAGGTGCTACGACACGCCTAACACTGTTGTTGCTCCATCTTGCTAAAGTATGTGCTCCCAAATTGCCCTCTCGAAAAATGTGACGAATTGAGGTGCCATGTTGGGACGCGTTAGAAAGACGGTTCGAAAGTTCGTGGTTTATACCCGGATTTTTGTTTTTAAGAATCCCCTTCACGGTGGTCTCCGAGTCGGTGTGGGCCCAAATTTTATCTGAGAAGTGTTTGGCCCAGTTGATGCCAAGTAATAAGCCCAATGCCTCTCCTTCCAGAATTGTTGGTGCGCATAGTTTCCATGTGCTTGCTGCAATAAAAGTTCCTCGTCTGCAGCGAAGAATTGAGCCGCCGATCATGCTATTGTTGAGGAAGGAGATGTCTGTTGAGAGATGAAGGTAGCCTTCCGGTGGTGCTATCCATCTGTGGATTTTGGGATAACGAGAGGATGGTTGAATGAGCAAAATTTCTTGCGGGAGCCTCCAGGATGTGTACTTCTGCAATTTTTTTGGAGCTTTGCTTAGAATCCAGGTTTGAAGTTGACCAACACATTCCTCTATTATCTTCCTGTTGCTCTAGATTAAGTTGTTGTGAATTCTTCTATTTCTTTCTTTCCAAATGTTGAATAGAATGATGCCGGGAAGGATGCCTTTTAGCCAGTCGAAGAGATTATCTGTTTTGAAGTTCGTCCACCAGAGTTGAAGGTATGCATTAGTTCCGTGGGTGGTTTGCCATGGTATTTTAAAAATCCATTCAAAGTATTTCCAAATTTCTCTTGAGTAAGTGCACTGAATATATATATATATATATATATATATATATATATATATATATATAGGGGCTGGTTCCCGTGAGAATGCACCTTGTGGAGAGAAATGAGAATACAATTTAGCGGTCAGATATGATGCATCGTGTGGCTCAGATTACATCCTGCGCTCAGATTTTGAGATAGTGCATTTTCGAAGGTTTATGGTGCATTTCGACGTGATGCATTTTCGAACCATTTTGGTGCATCTAATTTTGATGAAATCTTGACCCTTAGATCTCACAATCCAAAGCACCAGATTCATTCTCATTTCTCTCCTAAGATTGCATTCTCACCAGAACCAAAATATATATATATA